GGCCGGCCAGAGCGACGCCACTTTAGTACAGGCGGACCAGCCGGGCTATCTCTCTGGACGGCTGTGGCGCGTTTCTGCACTGGAATGGCCCTTTTCACTTTTCCTCCTTTTGGGGGTTGTGTAGTCCTTCCCGCGGTGGTCGTGCTGCTGTCACGGGGGTGGTGGGTCTCTCTTCTCGGTCTCCTTGAAACAAGCGTCCTATATATATATATCAGCTTTATTGGTTGCCGTGAGCAGCAGCGTCCCGACGACCCCATCCCACGGCGCCTATCCCGCCCCTGTAACTGTAACAAGCTAGTTTGGTCTGACGCCCGCCGTGCCCTGCCCCGCCCCGTCCTGCCGTGCCCCGCCCCGCCCCGCCGGCCGCGGGCTGTGTTGTTGGTCACCGCGGGCCGGGCGGCGGGGAGGTGGCGGGGGAGGAGGGGAGGAGGGGAGGGGGAGTGAGGGAAGTCCTGGCCGGCGGGGACGCGGCGCGGCCGGAGCCAGTGCCGTGTGGAGCGGCGCCCCGCCCGGACCTAAGTGAGCAGTCCTCCGGCCGCGCCCCTGCGCCCCCGCCGCCGCGCCGCCCACCTCGCGTCCACCGGCTCGCCGCCAACATGATGGAATGGGGCCTGAGACGTACGTAACGCGCAAGACTGCACTGCACTGCCTTGCACCTGATTTGCATCTGTGTTTCACTGGAAACTCAAAGTGTGTGTCTGTCGCACAGTTGTTGTGTGAATGGCCACTCCTTCACTTAAGGGAGGTAGGGTGTAAACCGAGGGGGCAATAACCCCCTTTTGATGTGAACACACACGATTCTCGAAATACTGGATTACCAGTGATTCACGTCCGCTTATATTTATTCCTTAGGTTTTCTGGTGGTAGAAAACGCTTATTTCGACTAATTTGTGCCAGTTTCACTAGTTTCTCCCTTAGTCCAAGCGATTTCTGTTGATTTCGATTAGTTTTTGTCCAGGTGATTCCCAGGCAGGTGCACACATAAGTCCTGGAGTTGTTATGCCCCCTCGGTGTAAACTTTCTATTGGAATTCACACACTTGAGCCTCCGTGTGTACTGCACGAATAGCGCTCACACACCTGCACGTGTGCGACATTCGCGCACACTTGGGTTCCCGGTGTATTTGCGCTTAGAATGATGCAGGTGGACAAGCACCCGGGCCGACCCGGGCTGAGCAGTGCAGGGGAGGGGTTAGTTTTGACGCCTCCTCATGCATTCGTTGATTGTTTTTTTTGTGTCGCATCTTGGTCTTCCCCGCCCTAATGTATTTTTTGTGTGATAGCTGTTTCACTGTGTGTGACATTTGGCACTAGCACTTTAATTCGTGTTTAAAATTCTCGTTCACTTCCATTTTTGTACGCACAGTTGCACTTGATCTGAAAGGGGCCGGGAAAGCCATGTCATTCACAGTTTAGCGTGTGACTTTTAGTCAATAGTGCCTGTCCCATTCAAAAAAAAAAAAAGTTTGTGACCTGGTTTGTCACAGTCACACGATCAGGTGTTCGAACGTCACACTCCTGATTAGCTTAGTGTTTATTTCAACATACGACTGCTTCTGCAAGAACATCATAATGCCCGCGTTTTGTTCGTTAATTTGCGCTCACGCGTTCCGCCCCTCTTTAGCTGTTTTTTGCAAACCCGCCCTGAATTGTATGGCTCTCTGCGAGCTCTGTGCACGCCGGCCTCGCTCGCAGTAGAGACAGAGGGTTCCGTTTTCCTACTTTGCGCCGTTTGCAAAATGAATGGCTCGAATGGCCCTCACCTGGTTTGCCGCTCTACTCTGCAGCACGGACACGAGCGCTGCTCGGCCCCCCTCTATCCTATCGTGGGGAATGAGGGGGGCGGCACTTGGTGATTTTACGACCTGGAAGGGTTGCAGCAGCGGCCACCAACGCCGGGAGGGTGCGCGGGCCGCGACCCGCTGGTATTTGCCTCCTCGTGTCCGGCGGCGCGTGGCGGCCACGTGACGAGCTCGTCCAAAGCCTCGCCGGACACGTGAGCGAGGGCCGAGGAGGAAGAGGAGGAGGAGGAGAAGCGGCCCGTGGACCTGACGATCGTCGTAAAAGTGCATCGGTGGCATTTATGGGGTGAGAGGACGGGGTGGTGGCAAAGTACTCGGGCATTTCTGTCCCCGCCCGTCCACCGACCGTTGTTGCAGCAACCCTCCTCCGCCCCCTCCTACTTTTACCCCGCGGAGAAGGCCTAGGGAGAGGGAGGGAGGGGGTGGGGGTGGGGTATCTCGTTCGAGGGGATTTAGCTAAAGCCTCCTCTGCTGCTGCTAGTCGCGTTTTTATTTTATTTTCATGGAGGTGTAATCTTTCTCAGCGCCACTGAAGGAGGCGTCCCTAGAGAGCAGCAGCAGGAGGAGAGGGGGAAGAGGGGCTATAGATAGAGATACTCCGAACCGCCCCCGCACTCTGTCAACTTGTAACTTGGCTTAAAACATCAAACTCCAGCCCCCTACCCGCGCCCCCACCCCCCACCGACCGCTTCCTTATAAAGAGATAAAAATCATTAGGACGTGCTGACGCATTTGCACGGCCGCCGTCTTGAGAGAATAAATAACTGCTGGACACGCTCGCCACGTGTGTGGTGCACTAGGATGTGTATTTGACCCGCACCGTTTGCCCACTGATTGAATGTGTCCCTGTTGCTCTCGTTTGTGTTGCTGTTGTCCGTACGTTACGGCGCCGGGCCTGGGCGACTGGCAGCGTGGGATTGGTGTGATCCGCCCGCTGCGCTGCTGTGGCCAGCCCGAGCTGGCAGCCTCCGCCGTGGTGGCGCCGGCCAGGCCCGGCTGGCAGTCTGGCGCACGCATTGTGACCGTCCGTCCGTCCATTCAGCCCGTACTTCCGTACTTCCGGTCGCGCGGGGCGAGGCAGGCGCGGTCCCCGGGAGCGCGAGGTGAGGCGCGGCCGCGCACGGCTGCATAGCTTTGAGGTGTCAAAGCGCCAGCGGCAGCGGCCCATACCCGACCTCTGACCCAGGCCAGCGGTGACCCTGACCTACGTAGGGAGAGACCTTTGGGCGTCACAATACACCTTCCGATAATAATTGTGTTTGTTGTCGCTGCTGCTGTTACACACCATTGTGCGTGCTCTGCGCCACTTGTGTGCACCGCCTCGTGTACTTTCGCGCCCTACCTCGATGGCGACGACCTTGCGGCACGGGTGGTGCGGTGTAGGCGAAAAGTGACCCTGATGGGTATCTACCCCTTTGCGCAGGGTCGGGCGATTACAAGGCCCGCGGGCATGCCCTATACCCCCGCGGGAGATCCCTCCCTCCGCCCCTATTTCCATTGCACTCTCGCTTTTCTCTCCCCCCCTTCTTGTAAAAACCACCCCCTACCGGTGCGTGTCTTGCGTTTGTTACGCCGTAGTCAGTGATCGGCAATCGATACCGTTTGGCCCGGTGGCCCCCCCTGGTGTACTCGATGGATGGGGACTCTAAAGGCAGGTAGAGGGTGCGGGCGGGAGGAGCCTTCGAGGGATGATGGCATCGGATGATTACATTATATGTATTATTATTTTGCGATGATCATGCGGGTCAGTAGGGTAGCTTTGCGAAGGGGTGGGACTCCCCTTTTCCTACCTTCGGAAGGTGGACAGAAGCAGAGGTACAATAAACTGCAAAAATATGATCTTGTTTGATGGGTTTATTTCTTTTCTCTTTTCCTTGTTTTTTGCTGTTATTGACGTGGTGAACCTTAGCCAGTCTGACCGATCGAATGGGTCCTGATTTCTCACGCCGCCTGTGTGTGCGACGCCTATCAGTGACGCCTGCTGTGCTTGCAGCGGCGTGGTGTTGGTGCCCCCCACCTTTCCCCCCACTTTTTCCCCTCCTCTATTTTTGCCGATAATGCCACACACACGGAACGTTACCGGTCGGTGTGCTGCAGCTCATGAGCTTGGCTTACTGTCCGCGCCGCAGTCCTCGCGAGTCACGTGAGGTTTATTTTTTGTCTTTTTTGCCATCGTCCGTCGATACGTAATGATGAGTGACAAAAATGTACTGCAGGGTGGACAGCAAGCGGCTGTGCGGGCTGTGCGACTGTGCGACTGGCTGGCGCGTGGCTCTCCGCTCCCGATGGTCTGGACAGTAGGACGGGCAGAAGTCGTCGGGCTGGGGTGCTGGTCGGGGTGGTGTCGTCCACCGGGTCGGGATGGACGTGTAGATAGATGACATTTTCCGTTATCGGCAGCGCGTCGCCCTCGCCCGGCCCCGGGCCCGCGGTGCTGTTCTGTTTGTTACACGCTCTCTCTCCTCTTCGCCAAGGTCGCTTGTGGGATCGCACCGGTTTATTGGTCGATTGATCGACCTGAGTGAGTGGATAACATAAATGAATTAAACGTGTCCCCTGTCCCGTGGTGTTGGCCCGGTCGTCGTCCCCCTCCCCCCCCCTTCCGGCCTTTGCGTCCGACCTCCACGCGCCCTCGGCCTTAACTGCGAAGTTTAGCGCCGCCTCCCCCCCCTCCCCCTCCGTCTCCCCCTCCCG